CACCTATCCCCTCCTCCCACCTCAAGCCCCACCCCCATCTCCTAGCTACTAACCTCATTCCGCCCCATTGACCTGTCCGTCCTCCCTGGACTGACTTCTCTCCTCCCTGCCTCCCCACCTACACTCACCTTTACTGGCTCCATCCCCACCTCTTTGACCTGTCTGTTTCCTCTCTACCTATCTTGTCCTCTATCCATCCTCTAACCGCCTCCCCCTCTCTCCCTATTTATTTCAGAAACCCCTTCCCCTCCCCCATTTCTGAAGAAGGGTCTAGGCCTGAAACGTCAGCCTTTCTGCTCCTCTGATGCTGCTTGGCCTGCTGTGTTCATCCAGCTCTACACCTTGTTATCTCAGATTCTCCAGCTTCTGCAGTTCCTACTATCTCTGATGCAAGTTAAAGCCCTCACTTTCAACTTCCCACTTATCACGTACAACATAAAGTTTATGAGCATTAAAATCGAAGCTGAAGCTCCAGTGCTATACTAAGGGAGTGCTGCTCTGTTAGAAGTAGTGTTTTTCAGATGACACATTAAACAGAGATCTTGTCTGCTCTCTGATGGAGAACTAGGCATTATCGCTGGTCCCTAGGAAATAATTATCCTTCAATCAACAATACTTTTATATTTAATAAAATCAGATGATCTGGTCATGATTAAATTACTGTTTGTGAGAACTTGCTGTGCGCAAATTTGTTGCTGTGATTCCTACATTTCTGCTTCAAAAGTAATTTATTCTTTGTAAAATGCTTTGGGATATTCTGAGATCATGAATGGCATAATACAAGTACCAGTTATTTCTTTGGATCTACAAAGCAAGGAATTGGACAATGTAAACAGAAGACAGCAATCTCAGTCGAGAAAGAAGATCTTCTTTGAAATGGGTGGAGAACAAGTTATCATATAGGTAAACAAATAGAGGGAACAATGGGCATAAGAGAATACCGCTGCCAATATCCCAAATAGTGGATAAACTGCGACCATAGGCTACTTGAATCACAGCAGATGAAAGCCTGTGCAGACCATGGCTCAGTGAAAGGTTGTCAGTAAGATGTGCCATCTTCAAAGAATAGACATGTAGACACAGTCCAACATCTGTACTATACTGCTAGCCACAGTGGAACTTTACATCACCCTCAACTTGTGTCTTGCAGAGCCTTTCATTTATTTACACCAAATACCCAAGTATTAACTAATTTAGTGTGCACCACTGAATAAAACAAGTGACAAATGCTCCATTTCGCCATACTAATACCTATAAACCTTGACAGTGAACAGCAACAGACAATTACATTTCAACTTTCCGAGGAGACATGGGATCATAAACTGTACATGTGGACCCTTGTGCACTTGTACATAATTTCGCACTTTAATTGAGAGGAAGCGTTGTTACTCTATGGACATGCAATCACTGGCTGAAAATTGTTCAGTTGATCTTTTCTAGGGAGCACATGACTTCTACTTTTCCAGCCGATCATAGTGCAACCATGGTTCATTACACCTGTACCCTTTCCTTGATACAGCAGAACTATAATGAGGTAAAATTCAGAGGAGCAATGTATCAGACATTTTGACCAGTTATGGATGCCTTTGCAACTGAGAAGGTTTCCAGACCATTTTGTGTGTGAAATATAGCACACATCTCACCAAGGATAAAAGTTTCACCATAACAATATCTGAGCAGCAACTATAAGCCATAGGACACGAGATGCAGCAATCATTATTACAAAAGCAACCATGCAAGAAGACAGACTGCTATGTCATAAGGCATGATGATTTATTCTGAGAAAGAAGCTGCAAAAAATGTTTAGCAGACCAGGTCAGATTTGTTCATAAGAATCTCCTGCTTTTTGTAATTTTCTTCTTTAACCCTGTCATGTTTGTATTGTCTTGGCATATTTAGTGTTTTTTTGGATTTCTAGTGTATATATATTAAAAGACTTATTTCAAGGTTTGTGTGACTTTTTAATTTGTCTAATAGTACTTCCAGTAAATATGATCCATGTGTTCCATTTCTCCTCATGTCTTATAAACTAGAGTAACTTGAACTAGCTCATATACCATTCCTTTTGTCATAGACAATGTTTGTGCTGCTTACTACCTTTAATAAGTATGTTTTATAAGGCAAGTAGTGTGCCTTTTCTTACCTTTGCAGTGTGTATTGTAAATAAATAATCCAGCAGCAACCTATCGTAAATTTAAAGCTAAAGATTATTTATTCTCTTGCAATTGCTGCAAATTAATGCAATGTCGCATTCTGTCTCATGCATGCCCATGTGCACAGACATACACTCATGCATATTTACAGATTACTGTTACTCAGTCTGTGATATTTGATTTCCGATCCACCATTTGGCAGACCTGTGATTTCTTGAATGGATTTGATGCTTTAAAGTTGA